TAGCAAATTAAGTAAAGCTAGATAAAAGCAAGACCACCCAACATTGTTCACCCTGTTGCCCACCCACTTTAACAATGGTATATTCCAATTGGGTGGTTTATGTCCTGGGTGGTTTATGTCCTGGGTGGGTTATGTCCTACATTCCAGATTCCTCAAAAACATTATCACGAAGTAAAAAACAGAAAAAAAAAAGACCAATGCAAAAATCAAGAGATAAAAATACAATTTATAATAATGGTAGCCATGTAATAATAATACTAATAATTGTTGACTTATAAAACGCATATTGTAGAGGCCTATATGCGCTTAGTATTATTACCCCGGTCACTGGATCAATCACATATGGAACCCATACTCATGTCCCTTGGGAGAATTCTATAATGTTGCAGCTGTAATCAGCGCATTTTTGTGTTTAAACCTACCAGGTACCCACTGTAGGTAAAGTGCCTTGCCTAAGGACACAAGAGAAATACACAGCAAGGGATTGAACCTCCGACCTCAAGGTTGAGAGGCAGAACCGCAACCACTGCGCCAAACCTACTAATAATACCAGACCATGCGTAAATAATAAAAGTTAATGCAATAGTGACTTGGTAGCCATGTAATACATATTTTCTGATGAAGCATATTCTATTTTTCATTATAAGGATAATCGTTCAGTTGAGCCCCAGACCTTGGGATGTATTGCCTCATTCTACTACTTAAACCATAAAACACTGAGGATGTTTCATGACCATATTGTTGCTGAGTGTAGCATACCTGAACTCATCAACATTTTATCAGTAAGTGTATTATATTAATGCATTATAGTTCAGTGTTCCCATCTCTACTGTAGTATATTTAGACATTGTTTTTTTTTTTTCTGGTGTTTTTACTGTATTTATGCCATTTTAATCTGGTGTAACATATTTAGGGTTTTGCTTTTTTTTACTGTAAGATATATTTTGATGATACCATTTATAAGAAATGTATAATAGGGTTTATCATTTCAGAAAGTAGAATAACATTGTGGGATTGAGGTTTGGCCATGCATTAAGCATAGCATGTAGGAGCATTACAGTGCTGCATAGCTCTATCTATATTTAATAGTACTAAATTGTAATTATATATGTTTATTCATAATTACAGAATGCACATGAGTTTAATGAGCTTCCAGTAAGACACAATGAAGATGGAATTAACAGGTTAGACAAGTCACTTTGTAATACAGTCATCAGTGGTGTATTTAAGTGGGGTGCGTGTGGCGTATACGCCCCCTAAAAAAGTACTTGCGCCCCCCAGTCGCCACTCCTCAAATACATGCTCAAGTAGTTTAAAATCACCTCAAATCACCTTATTTTACGAGTTAATTACCTAATCATTGAGCCCACCCACTCTCTTATACACATCTAGCCCACTCCCCCCCCCCCAAAATTCTTTGGGATAGAGAGGTTGCTTTTTATCTATGCATTTCTAAATATATATTTTTTATATGTAAAATTGAAGAGGTTGAGTGCTATAGTACAGTTTTGGTTGGATTCAGGAATAGATCAACAACATCAATTTCTGATTTGCTGGATACACTTTTTTGCATTGGAACACATTTTGTAAGAACAAATTGAGGCTGGGGTAAAATCTTAAATGAGGTTTGTATTTAAAGAACTAGAAAAACAAACCCCCAACAAATCCTATCTGTGCCTTATGTGTAGTAGGTGTGACTTATAGAAGAGTCTAATAGAGAAGAGTAATATACTGTTGTACAATAATAATGTTTTAACTTTGGAAAGTGTGTACATTATGAACAAAATAAGAACATTTTGCACCTGAAGTTGGCCAAAAAAGTTCGAACATAAGCAATTGTTATTGGTTTTTATTAAAAAAAAAAAGTTAATATGTGAAATTTAGGCAAATTCAGTGAAAGTAGTCTTTGTAAAGTATATTGAACAAATAGTTTCAAGTATATTTTTGGTGCATTTTGATATATTGAGGCACCTACGAGGTCTTTATGTCATCAATAATTTTTATAGAGGGGATTAGTTCATCCTTTGCTACTCCTTTATCATTAACTTTTACGTTGTCAGTTATGAAAATCTGCATAGTCAATGCAAAATTTAGAAGTTTAGAATGTATAGGCATGTGTATAGGTCATACAAACATTCCGTGGCTTGCACAACAGTCATATAAAAAGGATTCACCAACAGCAGCCGGTAATAGTTGTCCTTGTTGGAATCAGTCAGCTGAAACGCATTTGTATGTGTATAGATTCACACTATTGTTGTATTTAGTACTGTTGTGAAAGTAACCAATTGTCAAAGACTGCTTACATAGTTGTCAGACAGTTGGTGGAACAATAATCTGAAATCGTAAATTCAATTCTATTGTAAGGCGAGAATATTTTTTATACCTTGGTTGCAAATTTATTTTTATAAAGATTGTCAGAGGGGGGCAGAAAAAAAGAATAAAAATAAAATTTTCATTTAGCAAAATGATTTTACCAATACTATCTAGGAGGAGGAGAAAGTAAGAATAAAATGTTATTAATGAATTAGTAGTAATGGGATTGATAAATGCTTTAAATTTATATAAC